AATATAAAATGTTCAAGTTTATTCCAAAGCTATAAATGATTTCAGACCAAATATCTGAGCCCACACAAACCACCCACTGTACAAAAATATTTATCTCCTGCAATTCTCGTACTTCCTGATCTCAGTTTACTTTATTCTACCGAGGGTCCAAAATATTAAATTCTCTGCCTTTACAGTTTTTGAATTTGTTGTCACAGCAATTTAAAAGATGGATGAAACCATTTCTTCTAACCAAACAATATTTTCCATGCATGTAATTTCTGAATATCACTTGTTTTGTTTGTCTTATGAAAAGTCGGGATTCTTGAACACTTTGCTGTAATTATTTCTTATAATATGCTGCCTTGAGAATACCACTTTCTATGCCCCTGCAGCCTTTTTAGGCAATTCTCCTTCACAGTCTGTTGCAATTCATATATTCTGTTTTTTAAAGTTTTTTTTATATGTTTAAATAAACAAACAAACAAACAAACTGTAGAGCAAGAGAATCTCCATTACTGGATGAAAAGTGGCTGAGTGCTGCGCTGAATGTTAAATTAGACTTTAATACAGTTGTTAAATCATGTATGGACTTCAGTTTAGGTGACTGAAGATGCAAGAGACAATTCTGCATTATAAAAAGGGATAATTCTTCATCCCAGAAGATTATGGTATGGTATCGGGGAAAGACTACAGCTGGGCTGTTGTGTAGTCTAGCAGGCAACCTCAAATGGTACGTACGGTATGTAATGCATTAGTAATACTGGTCAGGGGTACGGATCCCATGTTCAAATTCCAGAAAGGAAAATACCACACATATTTATACTGTGCATCAACAACACAGCTTTATCTCCAGTGAATATGAGTTTAAGTAGCTTGAGTGACAGACTTTGGCTGATGTGAAGCATCACTGATTGTTTGATTTTTCCGACACTTCTGTTTTATGAAGCGTCAGATCTGCCGGCGCTTGCAGAAAAATTGGAGCCATAACTATGTCTTGTATTTTGAAGTGAATGCTATGTACGAGTAGAAAATCGGTCTTTACAGTAATTCAGACATAAACAAGGCAAAACTGTTGTTGTCGTCTCGCATCTGTGGAAATGTTTGGAGTTATGTGTCCCTCCTGATGACTGCATGAACGAGGTATAAGTCACTGACATTTGGGTTCAGATAAAAAGCTGCCAGACATTCAACATTTCAACTATCTCTATATTAGGGCTGCACAATTACTGGAAATATTATCGAAATCACAACACGGCCAGGTGCAAAATCCAAATCACAGAAGTTTTATTTTTTGATAAAAGGTAAAATGTGTCACCAAACAGCATTATAATGAAGTACTGTAGTGCTGCAGAGATGCCCTGGCCTACCTAACCCTAAAAAAACATGTTTGTTAAATACAGACCAAAAGATGTCACTTTTTTTGGTCAATGAAAATGAAAATTGTGATGCAAAAACTATTGTTCCCACTAATCGGGAATCAAATTTGCAATGGTAATATATGTCAAAATAGCAGTTTACTGTATCGTGCAGCCCTACCCCTTTCTTTTCTGGGATCTATCACTAACCACCATTAAGCGAAATTCAAGTAGCATTAAATCACATCTCATTAAACTTATAAATGACATCCCCAGTGGAACAATCACCACAGATAACGAAGGCCCTACTCCCAGGAAGTGCATATTTTGCATCTCTACCTGCTCTTCCTATAACTGGGTGGCTAAATCAGGTGGGTTCAGCTAATCAAGTGCTGGTGACCACATATGATACAGCTAATCATACGTAGGGGAAACATCCAGGTATTGTGGGTACCCAGGGGGCAGCATAGACTGAACTAAGTGGTGGTCTTTTACTTACTTACTTACTCACCTCTCATTGAGTGTGAAGATTGTCATGCTGGATGTACTCTGGTTTCTTTAATATTGAGCTGACTCAAATGTGATGCAGACTGACTCAGCTTGAGTTTCAACATGACATGACTATCAAAACAACAAGCCTGTCTGTGTCCCCCAAAACGAGCACAAGTGTGTGTGTGTGTGTGTGTGTGTGTGTGTATGTTTTTCTCAGAGATGAGGATGTGGTGTGTGTGTGTGTGTTTTGTGCCACCATGCTAGTGACTCTCAGGCGTTAGAGACATCACCTACACTAAGTTAATGATGGTGAACATCATGTGTTTTACACGTTTGTAGATGATTTACTTTTACTTATAAAAACGTACACACACACACCACTTCAGGGGAGTTGGTGTTGATAAAAAAAAGGCCCATCTGACGTTATCTACGTTGAATCAATGTATACACAGCCAAGTCCACGTTATTAGTTGGTTGAAAAGACAAAGTAGACATTATATAGCTGTTCTACATATTTTAGTGTCCTGATAAAAGGAGCATTAACGATGTCTTTAATATTTGTTCGTCCGAGGGATCGGTCTATTTACTGAAAAAGGCAGAAAACACAGTGGAACAACATCCCATTAAACCGCCTGTATGTTAACGATAAAGATGATTAAGGCTCATTTAGCGGTGTTACGCCTGTTCACACAAACGTGTGCTTTAGTAAATTATACTTTAAAAAAAAAACAGATGTGATGTTGCAAAAAAAAAAAGAAACCCCGCCACCTTATTCCTAAAGCTAAATATCGTTAAGATGAAACTAGATACTCCGGTTGAGTAGTTACAAAGTTAGCAGTCGTAGTACCGCAGAACAGTAACGCAGTTATTTTGGCTAACAAGACAAGCTAGCTGAAGCTACCGCAGCGTACTTACTAACCGAGGTTTTCTCGTGTAACTCAAAGTGAATTTAATACTGGAGAAGGGGGAGGGGGGGCTGTGTTGTTTCCTTTAGTCAACATTGTTGCGTCCGTCTCGGTGGCTGAACGCGTAATGGAAATAAAAAGACTTTTATTCGTATATAATTTGTAAACACGGAACCCCTCCGCGGAATGATTTGGTTTCAGTTGATAGTCAGTGGCTGGGTTAGCTTGTGCGCAGGGCTGGCCTGGACTCACCGTGATGTTGCAGTGAATGATCAGCAGCTTCTCTCCTGTTACGTTGAATTGGCAACTGAGTTCGTCGGGTTTCCAGTCTATTATTCTGAATCGTTCGTGGTTTTGGTCAAAGATTGACTCCAGAAACTTCAATTCGGCCTTCAGCCCCGAAACCGACATCTTCTACTCATCTCATACCACCAGGCCGCTGGCAGAGGGGAAGTCGGGGCGGGATGTGACCGCGCAGTTGAGTCGGGTCTACGGATCTCGCATGTTAGCGTGAGAACAACAACAAAGGGCTGGAGGGTGAGGTTCATGATGTACACCATCAGGAGTATTTGACACTCACTCAACTTTTATTTAATTTGAATGTGCTTTTCATTAAATATGTTTATTATATTATATACTTTAGAAATAAAAAAAAATGTGTTATGTTATTATTAATATGATTTTATTTGGCACTCATTTCATGTTCACATTATAAAGGAAGATGAAAACATTCTTGACAACGTATAAAATAAATATATAAGTATATAATATACAAGCAAACAAGACCGTGTGGAAGTTTTTTAAAAAGCAAGGCTGGATTACCAACTGGGCAAATAGGCAGCTGCCCTGGGGCCTCTGGGGCTTCTGGGGCCCTCATAAGCCCCACTTGACACTTTTAGTTTTTGGTATTTTTATTATTTTGCAAAGTTGTTTAGGAATTTCCACCACAACAGTACAATATCAACCAATATACCCTTGTGGCCCTGTGTCTCACTCCAGTATTAGTATTAGTATTTGTGGAGTGTTTCTGGTCTGGTTGGCCTCTGTGTCAAATAAACCGATGCAGCCATAATGTTATACAGCCCCATACACAACAAACTGTGACGCACTGTGTGTTCTGACACCTTTCTATCAGAACCAGCATTAACTTTTTAAGCAGTTTGAGCTACAGGAGCTCGTCGATTGGATCGGACCACACAGGCCAGCCTTCACTCCCCACGTACATCAATGAGCCTTGGACCCTGGCTCCAGTTGACCACTTTTCCTTCCTTGGACCACTTTTGATTGGTACTGACCACTGCAGACCGGAAACACCCCACAAGTGCTGCAGTTTTAAAGATGCTCTGACCCAGTCGTATAACCATCACAATCACTCAAATCTATCAAATCCTCATGCTGCCATTTTTCCTGCTTCTAACACATCAACTTTGAGGACAAAATGTTCACTTGCTGCCTGATATATCCCACCCACTGACTGCCATGATAACCAGATAATCAGTGTTATTCAATTCACTAGTCAGTGGTCAGGTCGGTGGTGTATGATAAAACTACTATATATAGTGTGCAGTGTGCTTTGTAGTTGATGGGAACAGGAGCCCAAGTAAAGATTTGCTCTGGGGCCCCCAAAATATGTTACCCCATCCATGAAAAAAGAAAAAAATCAATCAAAAGCATTCCTGTCTTCCTATCCTATGTGGAATATTATCAATAAGCCCAATTTACTTTTACATTTATTTTTATTTTTTTTACGCTTTTTATGAACACAATAATCCTAACATTAGCAGACCTTCTTAATTCCCCTTTACTCCCCCTGCCGGTCTCTTTATAAAACACAGGTACCTCAAGTGCTAAACTCAAGTCAATATGTCTGTACTCATTGAGCTAAAAACACATTTAATTGAAACACCTCTGAATCTAACAGTGAATATAAGGACGTAAGTGGCCTTAAATAAACCAACTCAATGTTTACTGATACAGTAGTACAGTAGATTGGAGTGGTTTTCAAGCTGAGCTATTTGCGGTGTAATGTTATCTTAAAACTCAAGGTTTTACCAGAGAAGTCTGGTTTTTAAGGCTCTGTGCTTTTTGGAAAATTGAGTATTATTTGAGGACATTGGTGCAGCAGTGAATATCACTGCTCTGTTCAGGTAAACAATCATGAGCACTGACAGGACACTAGATGGCACCACAGATACATGTTTTCTGGGAAGAAATCAGCTGTTGTTGTAGTGCATATGCACATTTTACAACAGCCCCCTTATCTGCAGCAGTACACACCTCCTTATACAACCGAGCTGTGCATAGTACACTACATGTAACTACATGCCAGCTAGTAATGACTTTGAAGGACAGACTAGGAGGTGGATTTACCACTCTTTCTTTCCAACTCTGCACACAGTCTGCCATTGAATAACTAATACCCTGTAGTTGAACGGACACTTTGAAGTTGGATTACCTTTCCTGTGCCTGTGGATATAAGTAAGTGTTGATAAAAAAAACTGTGTTATGAGCACATATTAAATAAAAACAGGCATGTTTTGTTGAAATATGATTTTAAAAATTACAGTTTTCTGTCTTGGTAGTTACGCGAAGTGTAAAATTTATTGGAAGGTAATGCTTGTTAGCAGTGATTACAATCCACATATTTTCATATTGTCTTATTTTATCAGTTGTTTTTTAGTGTCTCTTGTTTTAAACAGCAAATCAATCAATTGATTTGTAGAGCGATAGAAAAAAACATCCAATCTGTTTGAATTTTGGTGACTTTTGATTTCATTTGAATCACTGATCTGCCTTATGTAAGGTTTAGAGTCCAGTGCCATTTCATCAGTGGTGGAAAAAATATTCAGATCCAAGAAAACAATGTGTCAAAAGTCTTGTGTTGCTGTAAAAGGCCCACTGTGTCTGCATATATTATTAAATATTACATTATTAGAGATGTTACTACTTCATCAATGTGTAAGTAGTATTTTACCGTTGTACCTGGTCAAGGTGGAGCTAGTTTTAACAACTTTAATACAGTTAATTGTTTAGTCCAGTGGTTTCTAACCTTGGGGTCGGGCCCTTCCAAAGGGTCACAAGATAAATCTGAGAGATGATTAATAGGGCAGGAAAGACCAAGTTCTCTCTCTTAATTTTTTGGCTTGGACCTCTTTTGGCTTTAAGCTAAGTTGTATCAGAACAGGAAAATATTTCTTCATTAAAAGAAGAGCAAAGAATGGCACTGAAGCAAAAATATGTTTTCAATCTTCTCCCGACCAGCTTTGGAAAGAGTTTGATTATCTTTTAAGTTTCGCCCTTATAGTCCATTGATGACTTCCAAGATATTTCTGTGTAACAAACAAGAGGACGGTTAGCCCTGAGTAGTTTAAAGGGTAAAAAATTTTGGGTAAAATACTGATCTCCGGACAGGTTGTCAAATAAATAAAATAATAAATAAATAAATGTGGAGTAAAAAGTGCAATATTTGCCCCTGAAATGTAGCAGTAGTAGAAGTATAAAATAGAATTAAATGGAAATATTAAAGTAAAGTACAAGTACCTGAAAATTGTACTAAAGTACAGTAGTTATTTTCCACCACTGTATTTCATGTTATAGTATGACTGTAAACACAAAACACGTGCAAACCAGATGAGCCTTACTCTCTTATTGACTTGTTTTCGTGTATTTTTAAGGTCTCTGAGGGACTTCAGAATGAAGGTGCCTCATTCATCTCTGATCACCTTTGCTCTACTGTTTATACAACTAACCAGTGCATCAGGGGGGAAAATCCTGGTGTTCCCATTGGATGGAAGCCACTGGGTAAACATGAAAGTACTCATAGAGGAACTACATGCCAAAGGCCATGATGTCACTGTGGTCCGGGCATCTGATAGCTGGTACATCAGTGAAAAGTCTCCTCTCTACACCTCTGTCACCCTTACCAGCCCTAATGGATTTGAGCAGAACTTTGAAACCTTTCTGTCTCGACAGCTTGAGATCCGGCTTCAGGGTGGTCATACCTCTTTTTGGTCTCGCTTCTGGACTCGTATTGAGATGGAGCGGGTGGTTGTGGACCAGTTCTCTCAGTTCCATAAGGGAATGAGTGAAATGGTCCTTCAGATGTTTGAAGATGAAAACCTGATGCAGTCTTTGCACAAAGCCAAATATGACATGGTTTTGACTGACCCCGGTATCGGCGGAGGGGCGATGCTGGCACGTTGGCTCCAAGTTCCTCTTGTTTTTAATGTCAGATGGACCATTCAAGGTGAAGCTCATCTCCTTATGGCCCCTTCACCTCTGTCATACATTCCTTTCACTGCCACAGAGTTCACAGATAAGATGACCTTTCCTCAAAGAATAACAAATGTTTTGAGTTACATCCTTGGGATGTACACACTATCATACATCACAGAACCTCATTACAAACCACTAGTTAAGAAGTACTTTGGTCCTGATGTCGATTATTCAACGTTTTTCCTGGATGCGGATATATGGCTTATGAGGAATGATTTTATCTTTGAATATCCACGTCCAACGATGCCAAATATAGTCTACATGGGTGGATTTCAGTGCAAACCCCCAAAGCCGCTCCCCGTGGACCTGGAGGACTTTGTCCAGAGTTCTGGTGACCATGGGGTCATTATGATGACCTTAGGAACTTTAGTCGGGACGCTTCCTCAACATATTGCAGAGGAGATTGCTGCAGCCTTTGCCCAGCTGCCTCAGAAGGTTGTGTGGAGGTATATGGGACAAAAGCCAGCCAACCTGGGCAACAACACATTAATAGTCAACTGGCTGCCACAGAACGACCTCTTAGGACATCCCAAAACAAAAGTGTTTGTGGCCCACGGAGGCACTAATGGTGTTCAGGAGGCAATTTACCATGGAGTTCCTGTTGTTGGACTTCCCCTATTCTTTGATCAGCCTGATAACCTGTCCAGGATCAAAGCAAAGGGAGGAGCTGTGATTGTAGATATCGCCGTTCTTGATAGACATATCTTTGCAGAAGCCCTGATGGCCGCTCTTTACAATTCCTCCTACAGAGAAAACATGCAGAGGCTCTCCAGGCTGCACAGAGATCAGCCCATGAAACCACTTGATCAGGCGGTGTTTTGGATAGAATATGTGATCAGACATAAAGGAGCCCGTCATCTGCAGACAATGTCCCACAAAATGTCCTGGTTTGTTTACAACTCTGTGGATGTCATCGCTGCTCTGTTGACGTTTGTTTTGCTTATTACTTTCACCTTCATTTCAATTATAAGGTTACTAGGGAAAATGATTTTTATTCGGAAAAAAGTTAAACATGAATGATGTGAAAAATAATGTGTGTGAAATCCAAGCATGACCAAATATTAACCCAATTATCTCTGTGTGATGTTTTTTAAATTAATAAAATGTGAAAAAAATGACTTGAGTTTGGCAGTAATTTAATACATTTTTAGTTCAGCCCTTTTTCTACATCTTTTTAATTTCATATTTTTAGAGACTTACTAAAAGGGATCACTCATTCAGTAAGTTTCTTATTTAAAAAAAAAAATCTAAACACATCATAAATCAGGAATAAATATGTTGGCTAATATTTATTACTGTAAACATGATCTGCATATCTGAATGTGATGATTAAAATCTCTTTTAAAAAGTCTACTGTCTGGTTTGTTGTTAAGGGCCTGAATGTGAATAAAGTAAAAATGTATTCATTAGAAATATTTACTTTAATTATTAAATAGAAAAAGCCAAATGCTTGTCATTTAACATGTTACATTTAATTACAATACATTAAATGCATACATTAAAAGGAAATACATATTTTATTAGACATTTCAAATCTTCCATACAAAAAGATCAAAGTATCCCATTAATGGTAAATGCACCACAAAACTTAAATAAAAAATGTGCTGTATTATACAAAGGTACAGTAATGAATTAGTTGGTATTAGACGTGCTAAGGGAGCAGATCCCAGACACATTTCCTTTGGTGAAGATCAAACTATATTTCATTTGACCAAAAAAGCTTTGTTGATTGCTAGTCTTGCTTTTATCAATACGACCATGGGATAATGCCAATTAAAATGTTTTTTCTAAGCTGTTGATTGATTAATCATAATGCATTAGTTGATCCACACTCAGGGGTTTTTGTAACATATTTTAAAAACTGCCAAGTGTACCTACTACTGCCATTTCTTGCATAATAACTTTCCCAATACATGGTATATATATACAAAAATATCATATTCTGTTAAATAGTGAATAAATGTCAAATGAAAAGGGAGAGTAAAAGACTCATTTTCTAACCCCTTACTGTTTCCAATAGATCATATCACCATCATCACGGTGAACATTAAATAAAAGAATCAGGACAAACAGTAGCATACTTTGTTCCAGCAAAATTAAAAGTTTTTTACAAATAAATCATAGACGAACAGAAGTGGATTGTAAGGATTTAGCTTTATTCCAGATCTTTACAATTGTATATTTATAGTGATTTTTACCTATTACGTTGTTCAAAGAACGTAACATTCTATATAATAAAACATACACAACAAAATATTAAAATGTTTTTAAAAACACATGTTCCTATTCATCCTTAAACATCCTGGCAAAATATATAAAAAACACTGAACACTATTTTGTTGAACAATATGTACAGTACACCTCGTCTGACATTTTTGAATTCAAATCCTGTCCTAAATGTATTTCTTTGACTTCTTTGACAGAGTAGGTGGAGTAAAAACCTGAATATCTTCCTCTTTAAGTTTCACATTCTTTAGGCATCTAATGATTGTTTGGCCACTAGAGGGCAGAAGAACTCCAAAAAACTAAAATAAAAAAATAGGCCAACAAACACAGGCCTAACTCATTAACACTTGCCTTCTTATACATCCAGCAGACACAGAGCAACATGTAGTATCATCGTATTGTAGTTTATTTTGTATTTCAGGACACCTGATTCATGAGTCTAATATTTACTCTCTTTCTATGTCTGTTTTCAGCCACAAAGTTTGTCTGCCTGCTGCGTAATGCTGAAACTGTAGCATATAACTGCTGGTAATACTAAATTAGAGAGGGAGAATGTTTATAGAGAATATGTTTTTCTGATCATGTGTTTCTGAAGATGCCTCAATCTTCGGATCTTTGTCTGCAGCACTTGCAAAGGGGCAAAAGAAAAGAAATATGATGATAACCACGAGCAGACCCAATCCAGCTGCCAAATTTGCACAACCTTGGTGTATATCATTTAGGTCTGTAAGACCTTGGACACTGGACACAATGGTACTTGCGATCAGCCATTGTCTTTCTGCCATAATTTGTTCTACACAAAGAGAAAAGTATAGATGTAAAGTGTGTGAGTCTGTGAGAAAAATATACAGATTTGGATGCCTAAATGTCTTTTTGAGGGTTTTTAATGGTTATTTCTTTGTTTACAGGGTTCACCTATTTCATAACACTAAGAATTTCTACATAATAAAATTATATGATTTGTCTTCTCCATTTTGGAATATTTTAATCCATTATTTTGACAGCCCAAAGACACCTTCAGTGTTTCATATAAAGCATCTTTAATTTATTCAAAATGTAAATGTGATGTGATTATTAAAATGTATTGGACCAATTCAATTAGATTTTATATTTAAATATACAAATGTTTTCATTGTTATTCACTGTTACAGAATATAAATGTAAAATATGCATTTTCACATAATGAAATAATAAAAGAAAACAATCCAATCTCCAGTATGAAAGTTTTACCAACCTTAAGATTGCCCGTGATAATGAGATATGTACTCTTCTTAAAGGCTGCTCTGAGGAAGTGAAACTCTTTCAGCTCTTCTCTCTCTCTCTTAAATGTTTGCCCGCCTTTTTCAACAGTGGCAATTTCCTTTCGTGAGCTTTTGTTAACCTCTAACACTTGCCTCTAACTTGCTGCCCTGATCAAGTCAATATATGTTTCGGTTTATCATCCCAGTCAAATGTATTAAGGTCAAACAAAACATTAGCTCTAGAGTGGAAATTGAAAGGTAATTTGACACTAAATTACAATCCAAAGATGCACCACTTCATTAATTTGAAGACATTTTATGAAAAACAGAGAATAAGCGGATTCAAAAATATAGTAACTGTTGTGTAAAAACATCAGTACCAAGATAAGTATGAGTAACAAAGTCAAACATATAATTCTTCAGCTTCAAATAAATTCACTTTGATATCCAGTCTGGAGTTTAAGTTGAAAACAGGCTGATTTGATCAATACCCCCACTCTGTTTCGAGGTCTGAGCAACATGGGAATTAGTAAAGTCAGAATCAGAGCACACTTACTCCATGCCATAAAAGTTAAATAATGATAATCCCCCCTGAATCTTCATCAGGTCACAACATTTTATTCCATACAATAAATGGCATTTGTAACAGTGTCAGTAATTAGTTGATTAACATAAGGAGTTGAATTATATCCTAAGTGACAGTTAAAGTGGAGCATTTGATTGTTTCAGTAATGTGATCACATCTACGTGGTCTGCTGAAAACTCTATATGAAGACAGACAAGCTTCTGAAAAGCTGAACTGATAACTTTGCTGTGTAGTCTTGCTTGTCACTCTCTCATAAAATACGTGCATTTTAATGTGCTAACAAAACCACCAACTACAACATGTCTGCGTCTAGCAGCGTGGGACGTATCCTGTTACCTGTCTGTCCATCAACCATCAGAGAAACTGAGCAACATGTGCAACTGCCAGAATAATGTGTAATACCAGTAAGTCAGAGGAAGTAATAGAGTAACATTTAAAAGGCGAATCTTTAGTATTTTAGTACTAGTTTGTGGTTATAATGGTTATTGTCAGTTGCAGCAGTTACAGTACAGTACCTTTGTGGTTTTATTATGTTTTATGTACCAAATGTCTAATACCAAGAGTGGTTGTAGTTACCAGAGGACTCCAGATCCAATGATTATTGACATATTATGTTTGGTTTATTCTTATATTTGTTTATCTGGTAATTGAAAACACTACTTCAGACACTGGTACATGTTAGATATGTTAGGTTAATGTACATATATTTCAGTAGTTTAAAGGGGAACTTCGGCAGATTTTTACCCTAGTCTTGATCACTAGAGGTCACCGAGTACTGTCAATAGGAAAAAGAACGACCAGAATTGGTTCTAACAAACTGGAGATCCTGCAGCTAATGGCCAGAGCTCCCAGTTAGTTATAATACACTTCTTGGGGGCATAGAATAAAGAGTGCCTTTTGCTCCTCTTAACAGACACAAAATGCAATTAAAATGTCTGTGCAACATGATCAGGGCCCTTACGTGACAATAACATGCCTTTTCAACTCATTCGTTGTGTAGAAACCGTACAAAACAGTACTGTCGCCTACCTGTTTTTCCACCGCTCGCTTCACTGAAAGCCCAGAATAATCGACTTCAAAAATCTGCTGAAGTCCCGTGGGATTTCACTTGTTGGAGGGAAACGCAGAAGAAGAAATTGTTGCAGGAAGTGTGCAAATCAGAGAATAGTGTGTAAAGACATGATCATTTCTGAGGGGGAAATAAACTTTCTTTCGTCGCGAAGGCATTATCTCCGTGATCGATAATCTTGGCTTTTGGTGAAGCGAGCGGTGGAAAAACAGGTAGGTGACAGTACTGTTTTGTACGGTTTCTGCACAACGTATGAGTTGAAAAGGCATGTTGTTGTCACGTAAGGGCCCTTATCAGGTTGCACAGACATTTTAATTGCATTTTGTGTCTGATTTTTTTTGGTAAAAATCTGCCGAAGTTCCCCTTTAAGGTTAGTTATTTTTCAGACCATTGTATACATTGTGACACTGAATCTTTATCATGTCATAACATTTTATTCCACACAATAAATGGCATTAGTAACAGTGTCAATAATTAGTTGATTAACATAAGGAGTTGAATTATATCCTAAGTGACAGTTAAAGTGGAGGATTTGATTGTTTCAGTAATGTGATCACATCTACGTGGTCTGCTGAAAACTCTATATGAAGACAGACAAGCTTCTGAAAAGCTGAACTGAGAACTTTGCTGTGTAGTCTTGCTTGTCACTTTCTCATAAAATACGTGCATTTTAATGTGCTAACAAAACCACCAACTACAACATGTCTGCGTCTAGCAGCGTGGGACGTATCCTGTTACCTGTCTGTCCATCAACCATCAGAGAAACTGAGCAACATGTGCAACTGCCAGAATAATGTGTAATACCAGTAAGTCAGAGGAAGAAATAGAGTAACATTTAAAAGGCTAATCTTTAGTATCTTAGTACTAGTTTGTGGTTATAATGGTTATTGTCAGTTGCAGCAGTTACAGTACAGTACCTTTGTGGTTTTATTATGTTTTATGTACCAAATGTCTAATACCCGCAGTAGTAAGAGTGGTTGTTGTTACATAGGACTCCAGATCCAATGATTATTGACATATTATGTTTGGTTTATTTTTGTATTTGTTATTTGTTTATTTGGTAATGAAAACACTACTACAGACACTGGTACAGGTTAGATATGTTAGGTTTATGGTTGATGTACATTTCATATGGTAATATTTCAGTAGCTTAAGGTTTGTTATTTTTCAGACTATTGTATACATTGTGACACTGTACTGACTACTACTTGTATTCATATGATGTTT